ATTGCACCTCCTGGAACCAATTAAGGATGAGTACCAAAGTACCACTGTACTGCATACAGTCTACTAGTTAGGTTCTTGGAAAGCTGAAAAGAATGAAGGTAACTGGAAACTATATAGCAAGTCACATTTTGTGATCTATTGCAATTAGATATGCATCAACATATTACATTGGAAATGCTATTATTTATTAAAAATAATTAATTCTTTATATATAAAATATATAATGTGCAAGTAAGCACTGATCTAAAAAGCATAATGATTTTTATTATAGAATTTATAGATAATTCCTTTCTGTGGTGATGAAACAAATAAGATATGTACTATGAAAAGCATAACTTTTGAAGAACAGACTATTGGCTAGTAAAAACTCAGAATTAAAAAAAAAAGGACAAAGGTAGAAATCTGAATTTGGTCCATTTTCCATCTTTTGCCATTAGGGAACATTCTGGATTGATGATCTAATGTTGGAATCTTTTAGTCATATGCTGGTTATAACATAAAATGTTTTGGAAATATACTCTAGAGGTAAAATTCTGGTATGCCTTGTGAATCTGTGTGTCGTAAAACATATGGATATCTTAAACATCTGTACATTTAGATACTCAGCCAGATAGGAAGTTATTTCTTTACTCTACATCTTTTTAACATAAAATGAGACTGATGATTGGAATAAAATAATGGAATGAGAAAAGCATATATGGATCACTATGAACATAGGATGACTCAATAATTTTCAATTTGATAATCTTTCCAAAAAGGGCTCCAATAATTGTTTATCTTGCCTTGCCTGAAAGATTAGAGTACTTTTTATTCAGTGTCAAGTATCCATTTCTATACAATTCTGAAATAGTAGTAGTTTCCATACTAAGGAGTCATTTGTTGCTTCAACAGGCCTTAGGATTGCCTCCCCTCTAACAATTTTTGGGTTGTTTTGAGCTGATGAGTGTGAATTTAAATGTAAGTCATTAGCTGCAGTAAAGAGAGATGGTTTGTGGATAGCTACTGCTCTTATAAATACATTTCTGTGTTAAAAATTCAGAAACTGTTATTCTTAAGATAAATAGTTTCTTAAAGGGGTAAAGTCCTTCACTCACTATAAGATGTCTGGCTTGGTGAGCAGGAAGTTTGCATGTTAAGATGACATAAGCATTGTTTGCCACTGAGTTCTAAAGATTATTACACACACACACACACACACACATACACACACACTGCTATAGTGCACCTCACCTTCGAATAAAGAGATTTTTCAATGGCGATACTGGATGTTCCAAGCTTTGCTTACTGCACATGTCTACTTATAGACATCTTTATTTTTTCTTCCAAATTATGCATGTCTTTTATTTGCAGAGTTTGTCACTAAACAAGAAAAAGACTTTCTGATTTACATTAAAAAATATATTGCACTATGTACTCCGTGGCAAGCTGAACAATATGTTGATATTGTATTTTTGGAAGATTTATACATTCAGTTGTTTCACATCATAGCACTCAACTACATAGTATTGTTTGTATCTATGGATAAATAGATCAGCTGAATTATTAAAATACAGAAGTCTAAAAAATATGACAGGTCGACCAATATAAATTAAGTAAAATAACTTATACACTTCAAAGAAAAAAAATGGATGAGAATCATTAGAAACTGAGAACTGAAAGAGATACAAATTTGGATGAAGTCAACCGTATAAGGATGTAAAAGAAGATTTGCTGGATCACACCAAAGATCTGTCTAGCTTCCAGTTATCAATGGTGGTCACACAATGTCTGTAGGTATAATTGTGGAGCAGGGCATAAGAACAGTATTGTTCTGCAGGAAATATTACAAATAGCATGTAGCCATCAAACTCCAGGGCCACCAGTTGGAGGCAGTGAGGTTGTTAAAGTGTTAGACATGGACCAAGAAGTCTAAAACTCAAGTTTCCACTGGCTGACTTTAGGCCAAACATTCGCTGTCTCTCTCTCACACACATACAAAATAAATTGTTGTTGTGGGAGGATGTGTCTCTGAGGGATGGCAAAATATAAATAAATACTTTATAAGGGTGGCACTTTTACTTCAGCAGGAGAAGAAAATTTGGAAGGCTTAACACCAGAGTCTTTCAGAAGATCCAGCAGAGCAGATTTCTACACCATATGCTAAAAACTCAGTCTCAAATAATATTTTGTGAATAGCTGCATGAGTGTCCACCCATAGAAATTTTTTCCATTGATACACCTACAGGAATTACTTTAGAGACCTCTTGTGGGTGTTGTTATGGCTCTGGGCTTGGGTTGTTTGTTGGGATGTTTGTTTTCTCAGCTGCTATGTACTTTAATTTTTGTGTAAGTATTTTTTTATTATTATTCACCCCTCCAGACTCATTGATATCGGTGGTTATATAAATTGATTAATAAATATAAAATTTTGCCTGCAGTTTAATACCCGTACAGAAGTTTATTCTGAATAAGGGTAGCATTTCAATTAGTAATTTCATTCAAAAAAAGCAGCTTATTTCATTTACTGTTTAGTTTACTAAACTCAGAGGGTGAAATATTTGGAACTGTCTATATTTCTCAATGAAATGTTAGTACAAGAAAAAGTGCAGATTACAGTCAGCTGTTATCATGTGTAGCAATGGCATTTTGTTTTAAGCATGGGAGTTACTGTGTCAGCTTGTGGCAATTCTCCAGGTCTCCAACTAAGGACAATTCAAACAATGCTGCTAAAGAAACATGCAAGTTCTTCCTCCAGACAAAGTCAGCACAATGACACAAACACTTCTAGGGTAGAAATTGTATTATCTTGATGGATCCTGTCTTTTTTAGCTGATTTTCAAAGAAGTAAATTTAGCAACCTTGGTTAATGGAAAATTTTGGAAAATGTTATATGACAAGATGGGTTTTTATTAGAAATGTAACACTTTCATAATTTTGTGGATACAAATTATGATGAGAAATAATTATGTTTACCATTAAAATATTTTTATTCTGTCAAAGTAAAGACAAAAAGAAAATTATATAATCAAACAAAATAATTTAACATTGAAATTTATGTAAAGGAAAGAAGAAAATGTTTCCTATTAAAGAATGAGCAAGTTGCTGCTATTAGCATACAGTACCTAAGAAAATAAGTAATATACCTTAGAGCGAATGTATGTCTAATCTCCAGGGAAACAGATGCTCTGAATGCTGTATGTTTTTGCAGTTTGTGCAGTCTTGCATTATGCTATCATTCTATGTTAAAACAAAGGAAACAATAAGAAGGGAACATACTTTTTTCTCCTGAAATAGGACCTCAGTATTACAAAGCTTTGAACAGGCAATTTTTTTGCATGTCTTGTGGTGTACTAACCAGTTGATCATTTTTGAAAACAAGAACACAATGGAGTTTTAATGTTTGATGTCATGCATAAATATAACAAAAGCATACCCTAGTTCTTCACAAACATGTCCCTGGTCTATTCCAGAATAAGAATAAGATGAAATTACTCAGAAAATCTTAGGACAC